ATAGCAGGTTTGTCATGATCCAATATGAGCATCACATGACATAAGCTCACAAATTAAATTCATGGACCAGTTAAAACTCCTTTTTTTGCAGGGGGCTGGGAAGAATTACTTTCCTTACTACCAGTACAGTAGGTTGAGGGCTTAGTGCAGATAAATATTAACTATGGGTTAGGCTACGATGTTCCAACTCATAAATATGGGATGGATGTACTCTATAGCGAAGGGACAGGGTGATCGGATAAAATGATTTGGTAAAGGTTTTCAAGGGAGATATTCTTTAAAGGAGCTGAAACAGAGGGGTTTGGGGCTCTTATGATTGGCACAGCACAAAGCTGCTCCCAGCTCTTTTGTAACCTTCATTTGGGGGTGGTGGAAGGTCGCAAGGTCCCAGCAGTGGACCAGACTGCAGAAAGTAGCAGGGCTAATAATGACATATACCCTACACCTTGGATATATATAAACCAATGCTACTCATACTGAGGCTTACAAGGTTCAAGGGGCTCTTTAATGTGTCTCCTGCCGCTCTTTATAGCATATATTTAAAAAAAAAACCTGTGTAATTTAATTATTAACCAGTCTAAGATATTAGTCAATCAGGATGTTTTAACCAATTTTCTTTTTGCTGAGAGAAGAATAACATACATATACATAAAACAATGAATTCACATTTCCGTGGCTCTCTTGCATAATGTTGATTTGTCTCCTGAATACTGAGATCTTTGTATCAATAATGTACATTATTATGGCAAAGTCTGCACTATAGAATTTTATCTGACACTTGCACCCAGACATTTAGAAATAATGTTGTGTCCTAATTAAACCACATCCAGTGTCTCCTGTCCTCCTGCCATCACCCGACAAAGATCAATGTACTACAATTAACTGTGATCTCTTGTGGTAAAAGGAATTTCCTCATGTGTCTGTGCATGTGATGAGCTGTGGTTTAACAATCCTAGCTTTGGTAGAAAGCCAGCATTGAGTAGAAAAGAAATGTATAGTGATGGCAGAGTGTGATGAATTAAGAGCTATTTGCATTTGTGTCTCATATTTCCTTTCGCTTCTGCAAAAATCCAACACCATGTGACTGAAAATATTCTGAAACAAAGCTTTTAAAATGGGGTGGAGGAATGGAGAAAGGAAAAATAATGGATTCAGATTGATAATATTTAAATCATAAGCTATTATAATATATAAAGTTCAAAACACTTTATACAGGGAAATAATTTCACTAACCTTACTGAAGAGATTGTGCAGCACGGTGGCTTTATTATTATCAAAAATTAACTGTGCTTAGCTTAGAACTTCAGGATTGCTATACTCCTTGTTAGACTTTCTCCAGTAAGTCTCTCATGATTATGTTTATATAAGGAAACAAGTCTTGGGGTAGCCATGTTAGTCTGAAACGAAAAAAACCCTGAAAAACCAACAATGGTCCTGTAGCATGTTAGGGCATATCTACACTAGGAAATTATTTTGAAATAACTACATTGGAAATAATAGCCCCCAAAATAACTATTTCAAAATAAGCATATTCCCCAAAGAAAGTAGGAGTTTAGATTTTGAAATAATCAGCTCATTATTTCAAAATAACAGTCTTAGTAGTATAGACGCTTTGGTTATTATTTTGAAATAAGGGCGTAGAGACTAACCAAAAAATATATAGATAGTATCATGCACTTTCGTGGGCACAACCCACTTCTTCAACCCATGAAAGCTCATGATACTATCTATATATATTTTTTGGTTAGTTTTTAAGATGCTACAGGACTATTATTGTTTTTTAAGATTTTTAAATGAGGAAATAGTATGTCTTTCTTCCTTTTAGAGGCCGGGTTTCTGCAACTTTTTGTGCATGTGAGTAGCCTGGGTTACTCATATGAGTAAGACCTATTCTTGTGATTAAGGGTTTGCATTTTGGTTGTTTTCATACATTTTTAATATATAGAATTCATTTCTGTAAATAGAAATAATATATATATATTGATGGATGAATATACTGTATTTACATAAGAACATAATGGCCATAATGGATTAGATCAATGGTCCATCTATCCTGCTAGTCGATCCTCCAATAGTAGCGAATGCCAAGTGATTCAGAGAGAATGAACTGAAGTGATCCATTCCACATCATCCATTCGCAGCTTCTAGCAATCAGAGGCTAGGGACACTTTAGAATCTGTTTTTGCATCTTGTCCATCCTGGCTAATAGTCACTGATAGATCTATTTTCTGTGAATGTATCTAGTTACTTTTTGAGCCGTGTTCTGGTGTTTGCCTTTACAACATCATCTGGCAAGGAGTTCTGCAGGTTGACTGTATGTTGTGTAAAGACATAACTTTCTTTGAATTGTTTAAAACCTGCTTCCTATTAATTTTATTTGGGGACTCCTAATTCTTGTGTTATGAGAAGGAGTACTATATATGCTTGTTCATAAGCTGATCTTTTTTTGGAAGGAAAAAAGTGAAGTATCAAAGAGGAGGGGTCAGCTTATGAAACAGGTCTAGACCAATAGTTGATGATTTTAAGCTGTTGAATTATTGAACTGAGTATCCAATACATTCTCATTGCAGATTAGGGGTCAGCAAACTTTGGTTTCTGACCCGGGGGGTAAGCTGCTGGTGATTGTGGGCATTTTGCTTACATGAAATGTCTGAGGCATTGAGTGCTGCATTTTCCTGTGGCTGTGGTTCACTGTTACCATCCTGTGGGAGGAGGAGGCCCGCATGTTTGTCAGCCAGTGCCACTTCCTGAAGCTCCTAGTGGCCAGGACCAGCAAACTGTGGTCACTGGGAGCTGAGGAACTCCATGCCTGTTGATGCTCAAGGGAGACAGGGACTAAAGTTTGCTGACCATCTGAAAAGAGTCACTTGTTTTTTTCCATTTTTACCTATCCTTCTTTGGGGGTCAGCTTATAAATGAATGGGTTAGAGAGTGAGTATATACATTAAGACAGTTCCTTATTTACTTTCTCTACATAAGTCATAACTTTATAAACCTCTATCATATCCCCCCATCTCTTTTATAAACTGAAAGATCCCAGTCTTATTAATCTCTCCTCCTACGGGAGCCATCCCATGCCCTTAATAATTTTGTTGCCCTTTTTTGTACCTTTGCCAGTTCCAATATATGTTTATTGGAATGGGGTGACTGCATCTGCATGAAGTATTGAAAATGTGAGCATATCATGTTTGTATATCTAGGCAATATGATATTTTCTGTCTTATTATTTATCCCATTTGTAATGATTACCCAATATTGTTAGCTTTTTTTGACTGCTGCTGCACATTGAGTGGATGGTATCAGAAAACTATCCACAGTAACGCCAAAATCTCTTTCTTGCATTATAACAGCCTAATTCAGACTCCATCATTTTATATGGATATTTGGAATTATACTTTCCAATGTACATTATTTTACATTTATCAGCATTGAATTTCATCTCCTATTTTTTTACCCAGTCACCCAGTTTTGTGAATCCAGTGTCAGGCTAATATTTCACTTAGATATTAATTATTGAATGATGGAAGCTTAGACAAGGGGTAAGAGTTCAAACATATCATTGTAAAATTGGCTATATAATATAAACTGGATTAAAAGTGTAAATGACAATTTTTTGTAGGCAGTAATGATTGCTTTCTGATTTAGGCTCTGATGAAAGCAAAATACTTAAGCATGTGCTTAACTTTTAAGTGCATATTTAAGCACTTTAATTACTTAGGGACTCAACATAGCACTCTTGAGATTCTTGAGCAGAAAGATCTGCGTAAGTGCAAAGGGTTGCATTTACTTTGTTGAAAAAAGTGACAGTTATTGGAAGGAAGACTCCACATTAGGCAATTCTGCAGGATTAATAGAAAGACAACAGAAGTGGCAGATTTTTCATAGGAAAATGTCATAATTTTTCACCCGCTCAAGAAATCATTTCAAATCTTGATTTATTGTGATATTACAAAAGTGGCTAATGTTATGGTAGTTCATGGGTCTGTTAAAATTGAGACTATTGAAATTCATCTTCTGCAACATTAAATTCTGTTGTATTCTACAATAATTAAATTGTCCTTCTGATACGTATTCCCCAGGCTTATTTTTACCCCACATGAAAATGGATTATGTGCAAGCAAGTCTTAGTAACCCACTTATTTAACCCACTAAACATAGTGGCTACGTCTAGACAGGAATGATTTTCCGCAAATGCTTTTAACGGAAAAGTTTTTCCGTTAAAAGCATTTGCGGAAAAGAGCATCTAGATTGGGATAGACGCTTTTGCGCAAAAGCATTTTTTGCGAAAAGTGTCCGTGCCAATCTAGACGCAGTTTTGCGCAAGAAAGCCCCGATCGCCATTTTCGCCATCGGGGCTTTTTTGCGCAAAACAGTTTTTAGCTGTCTACACTGGCCCTCTTGCGCAAAAGCATTTGCGCAAGAGGGCTTTTTCCCAAACGGGAGCAGCATAGTATTTGCGCAAGAACACTGATAATCTTACATTAGATCGTCAGTGTTCTTGCGCAAATTCAAGCGGCCAGTGTAGACAGCTGGCAAGTTTTTCCACAAAAGCAGATGCTTTTGCAGAATAACTTGCCAGTCTAGATGCAGCCAGTGAGTTATCATGTCTGTTGCTTGATAGGTTGTTTTGTAGCAAATATTATCACTTTTTAGGTGGTGAATTCTTCATATATCTTCAAAATAAATAGCTCTCATAAATCTTCTGTTAGCAGATCCTCCCCCCACCCCCAGCATATCTTATACTCTTCCAATTGTTGATGTACCTTTTACAAGTTTTCAGGGAAGAAGTGCTAAATAAATGACATTTCTCTGTCATATTTGTTGGTTCACAAAGAAGATAAAACTAAGGGCCTGATCTTATTGGGAAATGAACATGGGTGTGCACAAAATTCAGAATCAATTCTAAAATGTGTATATTCAGCTTTACTTTAGTTTGTGGACCTGTATATTCATCATCATTTTTCAATTAATTGAATGATTTTTTTCTTTCCCCCCCACAGCGTAATGATATCATCTATTACAATGCAAAAGATGATCAGAATGATGTAAGTAGTACATTATCTTTTGTTTTACTTGCAAACCGTGGGCTGCTGAAATTCTCAGAAAATTGAAGGGGATATTAAAGATTCTAACTCTGTTAAGCTGACATTTTCAACTATTTCTGGGAAATATTTTCGATTTCTGTACATACAAACCAAGTTTGGTAGACTATTAGATTGCTTTTCATGTTTGTTTAAAGTCATGTTTTCTCTCGTTAGGCCTTCAGAGTTGGTAATGAGGGAATGGCTTGAGAAAAGAACAGCACTCTCCACAGCACTGATTAGGTATAGAATCAAACAGCGTAGTCTGAATTATAATACTACATAATCAAGAGCACTAACTTAAAGAATTTGAGAACTATTTTCTTATTTGGTTTCCAGAATTTCTTTCTGGCTGGGAACAAAACCACAGCAGGAAGAAACAATACTCCTCCCCCGCCTTCTTATAAGTTCCCTAGCCCAATTTTGCAGACTTAAGTGGCCAGATTCTCCATTGCTCCCTATACAGTCCATTGCATCATTGCATCCCATGAAGTCATTTATAGCCCTGGAAAGTGATGAAAATGGATGAAAATTGATGTAAAATACAAATAATAGCAATTTGCACCCATTTTGCATTGATGGAAAAACTATAAAAGGTGCAGGGCAATGGAGAATCTGGCCCAGAAAAAGTAAATTATCTGAGGTTTTCCACCATGACTTTAAATACTAAAAACCTTGAGAGGAAGTAACCTTCTCCTTCATTTGAGATAACACAGCTGACTTTTTTATTATAGTTTTATTTACAAAGGAATGGCAAACGTGTTGGAATGATTTAATTGGATGGATCAACATGCTTCAATAGCACTCTGTAATCACATATTGCTAAAAAGATTGATGCCATCACTATAGCACTTGATGCTATTGCTGTGAGGTAATTAAATAAGATACATAGATCATGTCAAACAAAAGTATTTGAGTTGCTTTTGTTAGATATGGGTACTCCACTGGGATGCAGGTAGAGACAGTTTGTTCCTCAAATAATCAAAACTCACAGGCTGAACTCTTCAAATTTGGGTGCCTGAAGATAAATCTATACTTAGGCAGCTAAGGAAAAGTGATGTGAGTTTGAACAATGATGTTTAGTATGTGTCCTGTTGAATACAATGCAATTATCAAGTGTTCTGCATTTCTGAATACATATAATTTCTCATTAAGTGCCTAAGTCTTTGTCTATGGCTGTGTCTAGACTGGCAAGTTTTTCCACAAAAGCAGTTGCTTTTGTGGAAAAACTTGCCAGCTGTCTACACTGGCCACTTGAATTTGCTCAAGAACACTGACGATCTAATGTAAGATTGTCAGTGTTCTTCCGCAAATACAATGAATCTCCGTTTGGGGAAAAAGCCCTCTTGCGCAAATGCTTTTGCACAAGAGGGCCAGTGTAGACAGCTAAAAACTGTTTTGTGCAAAAAAGCCCCAATGGCGAAAAGGGTGATCGTGGCTTTCTTGCTAAACCGTGTCTAGATTGTCACGGACGCTTTTCAGCAAAAAGTGCTTTTGCGCAAAAGCGTCCGCGCCAATGTAGACTCTCTCTTCTGCAAATGCTTTTAACGGAAAAACTTTTCAGTTAAAAGCATTTGTGGAAAATCATGCCAGTCTAGTCGTAGCCTATATGTCTAAGTTTAAAGCACACACGAAAGCACTTTAAGATGGCAGTATAGTCAAACCACCTCCATGAGGAGAGTAGCCAACAGAATTGGGAGCCTGCTGATATTGGCATTTAACAGTGCTGTAACTTTGCTGCACTAAAGGGCTACATCTACTTTACGAGTTTTCTCAGCAAAAACATGCTAATGAGGGACTAATTTGCATGAGTTGTGATCTTATTTGCATATTTTCTGTTAATCAGTTTTTCTGCTGGGGTATTTGCGCAAAAACAAGCAATGTGGACATTTTCTTTTTGCACAAAAAAACCTTTTCCTGCAAGATCGGTAAACCTCCTTTTTGGGGGCATAAGGTTCTTGCAGGAAATGGGGTTTTTGAGCAAAAAGAAAATGTCCACATTGCTTGTTTTTGCGCAAATACCCCAGCAGAAAAACTGATTAACAGAAAATATGCAAATGAGATAATGACTCATGCAAATGAATCCCTCATTAGCATATTTTTTTTGCTGAGAAAACTCGTAGTGTAGACATAGCCAGGGTGTATTTTTCCACACCCTTGAGTAAGAAAATTACAGAGCAGTCAAGTGGCAGTGAAGACAAGTCCTAAGTATGCATTTAGGATGCTAAATGTGGGCCCCCATGTTTGAGCGATTCAAGCCTACAATAGAAGTTCCTATTTTAATTCTGATAGATAAAAATAATATTGTAAGGTTGTTTGGGGGCATCTATTTTTATAGCAGTGGTCAAAATAGGTTAGGCACAGCTGCAATGCAAACACCTTCTAGCAATTTATATCTTTCTCAATTCAAAAATCTTGTGTTTCCTCCCCCATTTTAAAACACATTCCCAAAAAAGGCTTTTTATTCTTATCCTTGCTCCTTCCACCTTGTTTTTGTTTCTTTGGACTCCTTTCCTTTCTGGAGCCCCAGACCCATTAACACCAAAAGAAAATACTAAGAAACATCATGATTGTGGACTTAATCGTCGTTGTCAGTCAGTGATGGAGAATTTGATGGAGAATTGGTCAATAAATAAGAAAAACACCTTAAGATGATAGCAGCAGTACAGCATGTAATCCAAAAGCCAGGACCAGTACAAGTTACTATTTTGAACACTCTTTTCTATTTCTGAACAAATGAAATATTTGAAACCCTTGGGATTCAGTCAGATGCTACAGCAGTTCCCAGAGTAATAGCTTTAGGTGATTTTTTTTTTCAATGCAAAAATCGATGATATTTGAGCCTGCCAGCTGGTTTCAGTCCTTGTACGTTTTGTGATTTTTCATTTTGCACCTATATCCTGAGAGGAAGTCCAAGAATCTGACAAAAGTGAAGAACAGTAATTCAGTCCCATTCTTAGGACTTTTGTTTAGTGCAAGATCAGGTTCCCTAGATGCAGTGGTTAGTGCAGTTAATTATATAATGGGTTGGAAAGGTGGAAATCAAACCGGGCAACATCATAGAAGGTGCTGTGTACTTTGCATTGATAATATCGTAATGTGCTCAGATGCTTTGAAGATGAATGAAATATAAATACTAGCTAGCTAGGTTAGGTAGGTAAAAGGGCATCTGATTCTGAGTAAGTGGGGTATATTTACATGGTCACATGTGCTGACAAAGTTCATTGCATTTCCTCCTTTCATAATAATTCACATTTCAAACAGTAGCAATGATGGAAAGCAGGGGTGTTACATCTGTGATTTTTTCCTTTTTAGGGTTTTTCCCCCCAAATTTAAGAAAACAATGTTAATGAACAAAGAATTAGACTTCAAGAATCCATTTGATTTTAAAGTCTCTGGTTGCTTTGCGACACATGTGCTTTGTCTCTGCCAGATCAGTCTTTGGAACAGGCAGGATCAGAAGCTGCTTGGCTGCCTTTGAAACGAGTGTTCTGTCTCTGCAGATGCCACTAATGACATCCCCCATGAGTTCTGGTTAGACCCTGACAATTTAGGTCATCTTCACATTTCACTGCCACTGATGCCTATTCAGTACATCTACGAAGGACTGTACACACTCGCCTTGGATAAATTCCTTTAATGCCTTTCTTTGGCATTCATGAAAGGCGAAGCTTTCGTGTTCGCTCTAACCTTTATCACCTTTAAAGCAGCAGTGCACTCAGTGGTTATACACAAACAGGAGAAACCTTATTTCCATTAGCATATACGTGAAAAGAAAACATGGGCTGCAAATGTAATACAAAAAAAGAAGGGCCAGGGTTTTCGAGAATGACTAATGATGTTGTTTATCCGACCTGAGACAGTTTAAAAAGGGTTTCTGATTTTTCAGAAACCGCTGAGGGCCCATTCCCAGAATATCTGTCGTCTATAAGGAGTCTCAAGTTGGGCATATATAAAATCTTGGCCTAAGCATTTATTTTTAAATGCAGTATATTTAGATCTTCTCCTTTATCTGGAGAGGTGTTATCTTATTGAATGAGTTCAGGTTAGGGACTAAGGATCATTTGAATTGTTGATCCTAGCACTGGCTCTAACTTCTGACTCTGTGGCCTTGACTAAATTGCATAATCACTTTACCATGGTTTCCACAACTATAAAGTGGGGATAAAATGTATTGCACAAGGTGGTATGGATGAATTAATCTTTTTTTTTTTTTTTTGCAAAGCATTTTTAGGTGAGACAATCTATAGAACTTATCAACAAACTCCTTTAAAAGAGCAAATGATCACTATAAGATTGACCTCGGGGGGAGGGATAGCTCAGTGGTTTGAGCGTTGGCCTGCTAAACCCAGGGTGAGTTCAATCCTTGAGAGGTCCATTTAGGGATTTGGGGCAAGGATGGTACTAGGTCCTGCTGTGAGGGCAGGGGACTAGACTCAATGACCTTTCAAGGTTCCTTCCAGTTCTATGAGATGGTATATCTCCATATATTATATCTAGTTGAACAGATCTGCAGTCTTCTTCATCTGAAATATGTACACTTAAAAGAAGCTCAGATACCTTTTTCAAAGTATATCTTGCTGATTTCTAGTTAAATTCTAATTTGCACCCTTACTGAGTTAAAGTCCTACTTCAGCTGACTCCTCCCCTCCAGACCTCTTACTGTAGAATAGAAACCCCCAGGCCCATTTTTTTGTACCATTTCATATTTTGTGGGTACCTGAAATTTAGATGAGGCTATTGGAGTGCAATACACTAGCCTTCCAGTGGTTGGAATTAAACTAAAGTGTAAAACACTTACTAGGGTAAAGAAATGCGTTTATTTGTTGAAAGAAAGAAAGGAAAGAAAGAAAGAATCTCACCACGCATTGGCAGTTTCTGAAGCTTCGATAAACTTTGTCTCAGAGTAAGCCAAAAGGAGAAACAGTGAAAAAGTGCATCATTAGTAGCCTTTATTAACTAAA